CCAACTCCAAGCCCCTGACAAATGATGCAACACATAGGGTGTTGATCACATTGGAAAGTGCAGTTGTGGAAGTCTAAGAATGACTAGCGGTATCCGGTCATAAGAGATTTATTTGCCTTGTGAGCCTTGTCATTGTGCACATATATATAGTTCACTATGAAATGTAAGTGTCTAACTTCATTTTGATACAAGTTTGTTTTAAAATGGAAAACACTATGTTCTATACATTCTCTTTTGAGCTGTCCTACATAAAATAAAATTCAGGAGTCTGCTGGTGATCCCTATAGGGGAAAAAAACTTAATTTTTGTCTTTAAGGTCCATCTAAAAGGTTCTCATTTGGTTCTCATTTGATGGTGGAATGAATAAACCCATGAAGGTGAATCGGCACAAAGGTTTAATGTGGTGGATAAAGGAGCACTGTGAAAGAATGAGCAATTTTTAAGGATGGATCTACTTTTTTTTGATCTATGTATTTTTTGCATTAAAAAACAGACTGGGTCTGATTACATGAAGGATACATGTGGATTTTGAAACACGTGGACTTGAATTCTATCTTGTTAACGAGTTCTATGATTCATTTTGCACAATCATTGTATATAGTTGGTTTATTCATTGATTTTCTTACAAGGTTTTTATTGCACAAGGCTTACTGCTACTGTCTGCATCATTGGCACATCATTTATTTATGATGAATAACATAGTTGAGCACAGTAAATATTAATTATTTTCTGCTCTAACAGTTCGTTTTTAGGACAAGCTTTTGAGGGTCCATAACTCTATATCCTTCTTCTAGCACTAAGCAGTACTGACTACTTGGACCTGGGAGAAGGGAGTAGACCCCTGAAAGCTTATCCTTGTTGGCTTAAATTAAAATATCACATATAGTTCTAAGATGTGTTATTACAAGTGCACTAATTTACAATCAGTTGCAATTCACCTTTTTATGATGAATTACATTTTCTAATGATAATAAAAATCAAAATGTGTTCATGTCTGTTTATTTAATTTTTGATCTTTATTTTACTTTTTGTACTTTTTAGTCTGTTTTATGCTAATATATACAATTTAATTTGAGGACAAGAGTAACATTTCTCTTTGTGCAGGAAACACTAAGGTCATGAAAACTCTTAGATCTTAACAGTCCTCTTACTTTTCCCAACACTATCTGATTTTTTGGTACCAAAAATCTCCTTTCTGTTTTTTTTTTAAGGGGGCCTGGATTTTATGGCAGCCATAAACATAGGGAAATGTTAGCTCTTATCAGAGGTAGAGACATAAATTAGATCTCTGTAAACTTCAGCATATAGGATAAACAAACATGCCTAGGAGCCAGGCATATCTGTTACATATGAGGCAAGATCTTAGGGGTCTTTTTAGAAAAACTGGAGAAAGAAATGTCTTCCCAAAGCAGACCATTTACCTACAGCAAGCAATCAGGATGAATGTTTTAGAAAATAAAATGGGCATTTAATTAGTAACTAGGTTTCCTGATCCTCGCACTCTCAGTCTTATGCTATACTCTCAGTCTATAGCATTGAATGTATGGAATTACATAGTACTGGGAGCATCTGACAAAACTCTGCATCTGAAAACTATAGATGATTATTCAACATGGCATTTCCCAGAGTGTATTCTCTATTGCATTGCATTATTACTATATAACAAAGCCGACCTGCTTTAGCTAAATAGTGAACATAAGTGGGGAGCCAAAAAAATCCAACCAGGTCTGACGAGATCAGCTAGATTTATCTGCTGGTACCCAAAGACAGAAAAATCATGGTTCAATCTGAACTTCAGAAATGTATATATCATTGCCATATTAAATTACTGCTTAGAATGGAAATCACATGTAATTTAACACATTCTTAGCCTTTTACTTCTATTATTCAAATGCATATTCGTTAATATATATATTAATATATTTGTGAATTTTATATGTTTTATGATTTTTAGACAATACACTGTCCCCAAGTCCATTAATATGTCTGGATGGAAATGCACTGAAACCTTCTATCAGCATGCTACACAATACCAATACAGTAATGTGAGTTGTTGTAATTTTTAAAATATAATTCATATTTAAATTAAATGTTGGCTACAAATGTTTGCAGTAATCCTGATCAATAAAATAATATTATTGTGTATTTGAAAATGAATCTTACATTCTTAAATTTGTTTCTGACATTCCAAACTGATAATTCGATGGAAGCTTCTTGGAATTCCAAATCAATGGGCTTTGGTATGTGGTGATCATTGTTATTACTGGGTCACATCATCTGAAATCCTTTACACAAGAAACATGGTGATTCATGCACACAGATAAAGAAATTAGCCCGGGTGATTTACTAGCATCCTCTGTCTTCTGACCAAGATACAAGATAACTAGCTCAGGACCTGACAGGATAATGGCCCATATAGTTCACGTGAGATCTAACAGCATCTGTTGCTTTCTGGTGTTGCTATGTAAGGTAACACATGACTTGCAATAATCCTAATCCTAATAATACAGTCGTAACTAGACTTAAAAAGGATATAATGGGAATGTGTAATTAACATGGCAACATCTGCATTTATGTAAAAAACACTTGTTCAATCCAACGTGTTGGAAAACCCCTGTTGGATGTATTTTTGCTGCATTGACCTACATTATGTTGTTAAAGTGGACTCAAAAATATAAAAGGAGTAAATGTATAAAGACTGTCTTTTTTCCCAGTTGTTATTCTGCTAATTCTTTTATTTTGAACAAAATTTAGGGAATATTTAATTTTTTTGCTTGTATCTTGCATAATAAATTAGTTACAATAAAACTTTCCATTTCTGCATACATTTAAAAAGTGCTCCTTAGCAATTTTATATTCTACAACAGTTCTAAGGTTAAGTTTATTATCCCTAAATAAGTGATTACAATGGCAGCACAACAGAGAATAAAGGCGGACAGTCGATAAAGAGACCCAAAGATTAACTCTAACATATTTGCACACAAAATGTACTCACAAACTACTAATACAACACAATTGCTTTAGTAAATATTCTCCAATGCAATAAAATACCGCCAACACGATGCGCGATAATGCATGCATTCTGGTGTGACCAAGCAGTTAGACTGTGGAAGGACAAGACTCCCTTTCCATCCAAACATAAGATCGTCTTTCTTTGGTATAGTCGATCATATTAGATTTATCAGTCTTCCAAATATTCACAGTATACCGCAAACCAACAACAGTATATACAGTGCAAATAATGTATGCTCACTGAACAACACAAAGCGTGGGTCAAACAGGGCTCTCCGCAAAACATCATTTGAAGATAAACTTTACAATAAAGTTGCTCCCTCCAACCTCATTACTTTTATAGCATGCTCATTCTATACAGAGCCATCAGGTTTTTTTAAAAATTTTAGGAAGAATTATTATAGCATAAGAGGCTAAAATGTTTGCTGTAAGTATGCCTCTGGTTCACAATAAATACACTGAGCGTGTGAAGGAGAGGTGAAAGTGTTCCATGTTGTCTACAATCAGCTTTGCATGCCATTCCTTCTATTTACATGTGTCAATTAGCTCACTCAAATACACCTTTTAAGTTACGCTGCAGCTACAAGGATTAGGCAAAGCTACTAGATTATTAAATACATGGTAATGACCAGCGTGATGGAGCCGCTTCATCTCTGAAACAGTCTAAGTGGATGTTCTTTGCAACACCTATATGTACTATTGCCACAGTTTTATATTGCTGCAAGATCATCTTTTTTTTTTTTGGCATATCATACAAAAAACTCAAAATACTGCAAGGGCTAACATGATCTCCTTAATAATGTAATCTAAAATATGTCAAAATACAATATTAAACTCATTTTACATCATTGGATTACATTTGATTGATACAGGTATCAACTATGGCATTGGTAAGTGAGAAATGTTCTGAAAAGAAATAAAAACATCAGAAAATATTGCTTCGATGCTATTATACCAATGTCATGTTTGTACATTTAACTGACAACATAATATAGTAAAGAATTTAGCCTTAATACATCCAACGATATAAACATAAAATCTCCTAATTGCTAGTTTAACATAATTATTTCTGCTTAGGTTTTTATTTTACACACTTTAAACATTACTGCTAGAAAATTATTTATCATTCTTATTAAAAAAAAAATAATTCTCATTCCTAAGTGCTGTGTCATAGGTACAGTAACTCTTAGCAAAGAACCAGAATCCACCTAGCTTTGTTCTGAATTCAGCAAAATTCATTCTGATAGCTTGTTATGGGGCACTGCGCTGCAGAAGAACTCTTTACAGAATAGAAATATATATTGCCTTACTATACTATACATTCCCCTTGACAAAATCAATTAACATGTCATAATTTCCAGTAAATGAATTTATGTATTGCTTTTTAAAACTTAAATAATATCTGTTCAGTGCAACTGTTGCATATAATATTGATGGCAATGTATAACTGATGTGTTCATAAAGTGGCATCATCTACGGTTCTGCATGTGCACTTATTACGAAAAGGTTTAGATGTAGGTTTTAAGTATGTTATAATGCCAAAAAGCAGTCTTACAATGAAATATTTACATATATTTACAGTAAATTAAAATTGTAATTATTTTGACTTATAGTAATAATATACTGTAGTGTCCAACCATGAGAACGCTACAAACCGTAAATAAAAAATATATAAATAAAAATTAGGAAAAAAAATATTTTGGTGTCTGTGATTTGAAGCTGCATCCCATACTAGAAGACTAGTAAGTGCTGCAATAGATGTAAGGGGGTCATTCCATAACATTTTACTACAAGATTATTATTAGAGAGTAATATTTTCAGCTAGGGGGTTATTGCCAGCAAGGGCTTTACATATGGAAATGTCTAAATAAATATGTTTATTAATTTTAAAAAAATCAATCTTATTACATTATGTATGAGAAAATATATTTTTTCAGTATGATTTCACATATGTTCACACCAAAAAGGCTCACCCTACTACTACTTACCAACAATGTCCAAAATGGACTAGAAGTAGGAGGAAGATGATCAAGTGGGATCCAATATACAACATAATCCAACACTGGAAAACTCTGAGACACTACAAGCAAAGACTGTTCTTCTGCAAGTTTAAATCAGGACCAGTAGGAGATCCCAAGTGAGAGCCAAGGGGTAGAGAAATGGAGCTGCAAACCTACTAAGAAGAGATTATCTACTTAATTAAAGATTTTCTCTCTAAACCCTTTAGCCAATCAGGACTCAAGTGCCAGAGTGAGATTGACTTGATCAAAAGAACACCCCAGGCTCCAATAAAACAAACACCAAGACAGAGGAGAGAAGACAGAAGCTAAGAGGGAGGAGGGAGAGGTTCAACAAAAAGTGATCCTGTGCATACTGTGAATAAAATTCACTTCCATCCTATGCTTTTTTTTAATTGTCCTTAAATTCAGTAGATATATAAATACAACACAATATGATATTTAGATATATCGCAGTTTAGAGAGAGGGTTTGCAGATAAGGATGCATAGCCATCAAATGTTCCTGTGGATCAAAGTGTTGATATAAATGTGGCCCAAACATTTTTTTTAGACGCCTGTAAAAAATTATTTAGTATCCTGCTTTTGGCCCTCTTCTTGACAATGAAGTGTTTACGCATTTCATGTCCAGGGATATATTGTTTTCCACCGCTAAAATATTTCAGAATTAAAACTATTTAATGGGTGGCCAATGACAGCCCATGGTGATTTATGAGTGAGCTGCTGCTGCTTCCTTCCCTCTGGCTGGAAGAACCGCCCCATTCCACTCTTCCTTCATTCTACGCTACTTCAAAACACAATAGACATTTGCCCTGGATACACCAAGGGGAGGGAGCTGCAACAAATCTAAATGGAACGTGGAAGCTTATGTTCTAAAACAATTGCTTATTTAGAAGCTGTGTATTATTTCAAAGGAGCCAGTGTCTCCACTTATGGTGAAACTTCCATATATCTTTATTTATATAAAAATATTGTAATTAGATGTAAACCCAATCACTAAAATCTCATATAAGCTTTAACGTGGTAAGGCATTGTCAATCATTTTAAATATTTTATCAACATAATAATAATAATTCAAAATTAAATTAATACCTGCTGATCCTGACAGGTAGGTCCTTGTTCAGACATTTTCTACTGTAGGGTAACAACACTCTTTCCTTTCCTCCCAACTGTGGGCCCGTGTTTAATCTTGTTTTCTAAAGGAAACGAGTTACAACTGGTCATTTAAACACACATTAAAGTGACATTAAAGTCAAAAATAAGTCCCCCCCCAATGTTAATGTCAGCACTTACCTTAAATGATGTCTCATAATCCGATCTTCTTCTTTCCTGTCCTTTTCATCTGTCCCTCCAGCGCTGCGGCGGGTCTCCGATCCAGCGCTGACTCCTCTGAGCTTGCTGGCACTTCCTGTTCCACGGTGTCTGCATGCGGGTGCACGCGTCCATAGACTTACCGTGTGTCTCTCCTCGCGTCCCGGCCGAAAATGTGATCTGCGCTTGCGCCCGCCCCAAGATGCTTTGCGGCCGCCCAAGAATTTTCACATTTTCGGACGGGAGTGCGCAGGGAAGACACAGGTAAGTATTAACCCTTTTCAAAGCGGGTTTTTGTTGTTGTTGTTTTTTACACTTTCTGAATATATCTACTGCTTGCTAGCAGTAGATATATGCAAAAACACTCGAGGCTTTAATTATCCTTTAAGTGGGCATGGTCCACTGTTCATAATCAGAGAACCTGCCATGAGAAATGCCGTGCAGCCATCGTTGAACTGCACATGGGCAGGAAGTGGCTGCAAATAGGCTGCAGGAGATAAACAGCACTGAAATGAAACAAGGGATAAAAAAAAAGGTACAAACAAGTGTCTAATTTAAGACAAATAATGATTAGGATGCACATCTCATAATCCGATCTTCTTCTTTCCTGTCCTTTTCATCTGTCCCTCCAGCGCTGCGGCGGGTCTCCGATCCAGCGCTGACTCCTCTGAGCTTGCTGGCACTTCCTGTTCCACGGTGTCTGCATGCGGGTGCACGCGTCCATAGACTTACCGTGTGTCTCTCCTCGCGTCCCGGCCGAAAATGTGATCTGCGCTTGCGCCCGCCCCAAGATGCTTTGCGGCCGCCCAAGAATTTTCACATTTTCGGACGGGAGTGCGCAGGGAAGACACAGGTAAGTATTAACCCTTTTCAAAGCGGGTTTTTGTTGTTGTTGTTTTTTACACTTTCTGAATATATCTACTGCTTGCTAGCAGTAGATATATGCAAAAACACTCGAGGCTTTAATTATCCTTTAAGTGGGCATGGTCCACTGTTCATAATCAGAGAACCTGCCATGAGAAATGCCGTGCAGCCATCGTTGAACTGCACATGGGCAGGAAGTGGCTGCAAATAGGCTGCAGGAGATAAACAGCACTGAAATGAAACAAGGGATAAAAAAAAAGGTACAAACAAGTGTCTAATTTAAGACAAATAATGATTAGGATGCACAGCGTGTTAGCAAACTAAATATTATTAATTTAGGGTTTGCACCTATATTGAAAAGAGAGTTCCACTCTACATAACAATTTTCTTTACTGTCTAATGGTAAAAGTGTTTAAATATACAGTGACCTATCAATATTTTCTTTTTCTTTACCTCAATTCTATTGCAATATAATTGCATCCCCATGTGTATGCAGTCATTGTGCACTTTTTATTTTCTCCCTGAATATTCCAATAGCTCAGCAGATAACTGACTAGATTGTACAAATCGGGCATACAATCTTCCAGAGCTGGAGGCTGCAGTGGCCTGACTTAGTGGTGCTGATTATGGCCAGAGCACGTCTAGGAAGTTTTAAATATGTCCGACCTGAAACTTGCACTGCTTCCAGCAAGGGTAAGACTTCACCCTCTAAAACTGGATGGAAGCCTCAGCTATGACAGGAGACAAACATACTAAAGGTGCCCATACACCAATTCATTTTTGTTCCCAAATTGTCGACGAATGGGCGTTAGAACGATAATCGGTCAGTTGATGGGAACCAAATTTTTTTTTTACTGTACTCCCGGGCAAATTTTCTAGTTTGGTCAGGCTGGAAAACTTTTTTCGAATCGTACGAAAATCGATGAACACTGCACATGCGAAAACAAAAATGCGTTCTGTCGATCAATGACATTTGGGGGGTTAGTATTGGTAACAAAAATTTTTCTCAAATGACATTGGTCTGTGCATGATGGGGTATTCGAGTATGACGATATGAAAAAAATCTAACAGTAATCACAGAGTGTATGGACATCGTAACAATATTCTTATAGAGATCACCTGTGATGGAGCCACATTTCGGTCAGGCAGCCCAGTCTCTGCAGGCTTAAATCCCAGTCAACTTTCTCAAACTTTATTATCTCTATAAAGTTATCTAAGCATGAACACTAATCTTTACGTTTTCCAATTGTAAGACCAAAGTAATCCTTTAAACCATTTTGAATGCATTAATATGTTATTTGTGTGCTAATTTCTTGGCCTCCTTTCAGTTGACTAATACGACCCCATCAACTGTAACTTTTCTTATGGATTGCATGTGCTTAATGAAAAAAATTAACCTATTTTAAGCCTGTCACACCCAAACGTTCCAAAACCAAAATTTCCATGGTATCAAATAGTCAGCAGAAGGCACATAGGACTTTAATAAAAGCTGCTGATTTAAATAGGTTTGAAACGGGGGCGTGTCCTGCTCATGGCGGAGTAAGACGCACACGCTCGAGCTCCGTGGTGTTACCAGCCTACATACTACCAAAAACCATTTATACCACCCCAACTTTACCCACCTAACGATGTCTAGACGGCGGAAGGAGAGCACACCTGCATCACAGAGGGGGACCCCGTCTCTACAGCACTTCTTCACCTCGACTTGGACCCGGACCAGAGGCCGCAACGTGTCCAATATGGCGTCCGAACTCCGCTCAACACGAGGCAATGCCGTTCTATCTCTCCCGCACCTAGTGAGACCCCCTCTGGAATGCACTCACCCCGGGTATACGACTCTGATTCTACAGATGCCGACCAATATCCGTCCTGCAAACTGCCCACTGACGTGCCGCTGGAGTTCCGGGCCTTACTAAAATATCTCCCCACTAAAGTGGACTTTGCGGCCCTGGTCTCCAGAGTGGAGGCAGCCATCCAACGGGACCTTCGGAAGGTGAGGCAAGAAGTCCAAACGGTCGCCACCGAGGTTGCCTCAGTGTCTGCCACCTGTGAGGCCATAGACACGCGGGTCAGGGCCCTGGAGCAAGTGAAGCCTGAGGTTTCGCCGCACATAGCATCTCTCCAACTGCACATGGAGGACCTCGAGGACCGAAACAGATGCCAGAACATACGGATCCGGGGCATACCTGAGGCGACTACCCCCTCGGACCTCCACTCCACAGTACAGGCGATCTTCGGTTCCTTGCTCCCGGACACCGCTCCTGACACTATCCTGCTGGATAGAGTACACTGCACCCTAGGCCCCCCTTCCACGGTAGTCTCCCGCCCCAGAGATGTCGTCTGCCGCCTCCAAAATTACTCCGTAAAGGAAGACATCCTCCGCCATGCTTGGCTGAAAAGACCGTTTTAATTCGATGGAGCGGAATTGCAGGTCCTACGACCCTACGCGACCTTCTCCAGGTCCCTCCAGTCCGACTGCCAGACTGGCTGACCCATCTCCCGGATGATACACCAACGTCCCCGAAACCTCGCCGGGCCCGGCGCCCTCGACGAGCCTCTCCTGTGGCCCCTCCAGACCGGCGCCCGGGAGATCCACCGGATACAGCGGAACTGTGAGTGATCTGATGGGGGGTAGCTTCTGCCTTCCCCTTCCCCGTCGCCACCCCTGAGCTGACTATCCCAACGCACCTGAAGCCTAAGAGCCGGCAGCTGGAATGACCTCGCGGGCAACTAGGGCCTACCACCGCCCCGGACAATTTCACCACTGTGAACCTAGGCTGAATACCTTCCACCGGCAGGCCCCGGCCTTTCAGACCTCCGGCATCCTTTTGTTTTTGTCCCTGTCCCCCGAGTTCCGGCACTTCTCCGTTAGCA